TCAGGCTTACCTGTGCATCAATATCTATGGCAGGGTAGATCGGTAGCATGGCTGAAGGAGAAATGATAGGACTTGGAGCTGGCGTCTGAGGTTGGGAGACAGAAGTTGCAATGCTATGGGTAGGAGTGTTTGACATTGCAGATGCTCTTCCACTCACTGCTGTTAAACAGAATGACTACATTTAGTAAAAGTAAAATTTATTCTTCAGATCTGTAACATCACAATAAGTGAACAATGAAATACCAGAAAAATCTTGAATGTTTCTTTATAAATTATTGTATTTTGAAAATATATCACGTTTAAACCTCTAATTCGTTGGCCTTAAGAACTCTGACAACTTAAAAACTAATTTAAGAAATAGACAGTATGAGAAATGTGTGAATATTAGGTTTGCGGCATTTTCTGAAAGCCACTTTTAGAAAAAAAATAGCACTTTTTCTGATCAGACACTTTATTCAAAGAGGTATATGATTAACTGACTCAAAAATTCCATGCCATTAAAAGGAGACTGGAGCACAGTCAGAATAATTAGGTACTTACAGCTATATATTTTGGCTAACTACGGGTCCTCGAGTTCATATTCCAATCACAAGGCACTAATGCAAAATAGCAACAGTGATCGTGTGGAAGCTCCTGATCAGTCAGAATTGACCAAATATAAACAACTATGTTACATGGGGGGAAAAAGATGAACATTTTTATAAAAATCATTTTGCCAATGGTATAGATTAAAAGTTCTGGCAAAGTAAAAAGAAAACCATCAATAAATACTATTTTTGCTATATCATATCAAAATGGCATTATTAGCATTTTGAATGCAGTATTTTCCTAAAGAACCTTTTGCAGTCAAGATCTTCCAGTTTCTGGTAAAGCATCCTTTAAAATAATATGTTCTGTGTATACATTTTTAAAGGAATTAATGGATTTTTCTGTTCCCCTTTTTGATGTTAGTGAGGGTCTTTAGAATCTCACTGATTATATAAGAGAGCTATGAAAAGGAGGATATACAAAGTGCTGTCAAATGCACAAAGTAAAGGATTTGGAAAAAAATTCAAGTATATTTTTCGAATAATCGTAAGTGTTATTTGTAGCTCCCGTAATCACAAAATTTAGAGAAATGCATTTTTCAAATTGATAGTGTTCCTTTACCACATACAATGGAGCAGCTATGCAGGAATATATAGTAACCCCTACTCTTAAAGTTTCTAACGTTTTAAAATTTGTTCTTTGAAGTGGGTTTAATAATTGGGAAAAGTGCTTGATCACCAGCCCTGCATACTGAAGTCCTTTATTCAGCAGTAACATTGTGGGCAGCAGTAATGCAACTTTCGCCACAGCATCCCACCAACCTGACTGAGCCTCAGTCCAAAGAGGCCAATGTTTAATCTCTGTACTAACTCAATTCTTGGCCTTCTTGCTGAAACTGCCAACAAGGGAGACAGCAAATGTCAATTATGATAGAAACAAATGGAAGCCACAACTTATTCCATACAGACCCAATGAACAATCTTACCAGATAATAATGACTTCTGTTCACTATCAAACCAACCTTTACTCATGAATTAGAGGTGGAAGTCTGTGCCAATCCCAAAGCCATCCAGTTATTAGTTCTTTAACTTTCACCTAAATAGCTAAAGAATGGCAACGGGCATCTTTAATGAAGAGGAAATCAGTCTCCCATAGTACTTCATTACAAAGTTATCACTGGGTATGGACTCAATTACTGGCACAAGATTTGAACTCAAGATAATTTGGCCCAAAGTTGAGGTGCACCATATGACTGATTTCAAATTAAAGATAATATCAACACGAGTTGTGGTTTCAGGGAATTCTAGTTCAGGGAACATCATATCCAAAGGTTTCAGCCCAAGGTATTCATGTTCACCAGGAGTCTTTAAAAAATAACACACTTAAAAGCAGCTCAGGTTCATTATCCCTGTTATATCAAGATGTTCCGTAAAAAAAGAATAGCTGAGGTTTGATTTAGAACAAAAACCAGGAAATTCAGAGTTAGATCTCTTGCTCCATTCTTTGTTCATTGTATCACAGCACATGTGGGTCAGATACCGAAGTTTTTCAAAAAGCCAGCAAAACAAGAACCCTGAACTCTGAATTTGCTGCCTTTTATGGATTTAAAAAACAGAACTTCTCAAGCAGCGCAAAGTATTTTAATTCCTAAAGTTAAAAGACAGTTTGGAAAAAGGTTTGATTCCCACCATATCAACATTTTATAAATGAACGATCTTTTTTGCCCAGTGGCACGGGGGGGGGGGGGGGTACAGCGTAAAGTTACAAGAGACCGAGTACTCAAGCTTGCTGCAAGGTGATGGGAATCAATGAGAAGTGAGTAATCCACACACCAGAACAAGAAAGTTTCCAATGCTGAATGTAATACCATAAAAGTTTTTAAAGGGTCATTAAGAACCATAATTTCCTCTTAAAAAAAAAACAAAACAGTTCCAAGTTATGAAATCTTCAAAGACATAAGAAGTTAGTATTGTGACCCACTACAAGAAAAAAGGCACGTTAGCTATTACAACTGACACCACCAAGGTTGTTAGGCCTACAAATTGACTGATGTTGAGAATTATTACATTAAATTATTTTTAATTTAAGCCATGTACCATTTTTCACACTATTGTTGCTGCAGTGAGAATTTTTTTTTTTTTTTTAGAAAAACCAACACCCCTCTTCCCACAAGAAACTTCACGATAGAGTTCATGAATGAACGGTTTATACACATGCTAACACAGTACACACATCAGTTTACAATTCTTACATTATTATTTTAAATCTGCTGCAGCAATAACTAACTGAGAAAAATATATGGTTCATAGCTGTACAGTACATTTAATAAATGAAGCAAAAGGTAAATGTGTTAAATTTTTAGGCCTAACAATCATGAGGGTGGTTCTCTAGGTGCCGGGAAAGCTCCTGATCAGGTTGAAATGGTCATTCAAGTGCATACCCCAAAGGCAACCAACAAAAATCGTTTAATCTAAAGTGTTCTAACAAAGACTAAGAAGCATTCAATAAACTACAATGTCTTCATACTATCTTCCCAGCAGTAACATGAGTACTTGGCCCACTTTAGTAAAGTTAAGAAATATTTTTAAATTAACTATTTTAATGAAGAGTTTTAACAACATCAGGGCACATTCTGTCATCATAAGCAAGCAAAACAAAATGAATTCCCTACCCACACCTCTTCTTTTTTTAAATTTTCTGACTGTGATGTGGTAAAGTAAAGGTATCTGTTTCACTACTTAGGTGAACATCTACTGTAAGGCCACACACACTTCTTTCTCCTGTTGAGATGCAGGATTAACTTTCAAAGTAACTTTGAAAAGTAACTTTTGAAAATCAGATTTAATGCTTTTGAAAATTTAATGAGTTAGGTTCTTAATCACTTTTGAAAGCAGCCCTTGGTGCTCTTGACAATTTTATTTGCCATGAAGACTGAAGGCACTGCAGTATTTCAATTTTTATATTTGATTTTCCTGTGTACTGCCATTAGGAGGTCTACTTAACTAATCTTTACATTGGACTCCTTTTCCAGATCTTAGATTTCCTCTGGACTTAAAGGGATGTTCCTTACAGTTTACATGTTTTCCCCACAAAAACACCAAGTTGTACACTTGTAAAATAAGTACTCCAAATATTGCAGGAAAGAAGTAAAAAAGAAAAAAGTTCACAAGTATAAGTAAGTAGAGTGAAGGTTGTGTAAGATAAAAATCTGTTTTAGAGCAATAGGCTCTTATCAAATAGTTCATTCGGAAGGTAAGCCTCACATTTTAAAAAGGAACACATGCTCATATTTGAGAAATGTCAATGTTTATTTCTTTAAATAGCTAATATAATTGTCCCTCTTGACTCAGGGGATAATACTATGCGCTTTTTTAATTTAGCAAGAATGGGGACTCTCTTTGTGTCATAAGAATGATCATATTATTCATTCAGTTTCTTCAAAGTTTTGAAATTTTTTACACTACGCTGAACATTAGCAATTTTTTTAGTGGTGTTCTCTTACTGGGCACACAATGCTATTCTTGTGCAGTGAACGTCCCTTGCAAAGGTTGAGGCATTCTTTCGTGCTGCACTGCTTTAATTTGAGATGTGAGACTGACAGCCAGATTTTCATTTGCTTTTTCTCAAATGGATTTTAAAATTGTTTAAGATCTTAATGTGACGAATTTGGTTTTTTGCATTTCAGGTTTTTCCAAATATTCTAGTAGAAGAGTCAAGTTTTCTGAATTTAAGATTAAAAAAAAGATGTTCCTAGAATACATTTTTATGGATCTGTGCACACAATTACATAGGTCACTATATGCCCTGAAATAGTAACTAGAAGGCTTGTTGTGACTATGAATTGGAAAATATAATACCACTCCTAAATATTAACAGATCTATCACATGGTGCCTGAGAATCCATAACACGTCAATGTTCCTTATTTTACATTTATATTAGTTCTTTTCAGGGGCTTTTTCATGCAGTTTACCAGCCTAAAAGGTAAAACAGATCACATTACATACATTTCTTTTCCTGCAGGAAGTCCATACCTTTTAGTCAATGGACCAATAAAAAATGTAATTAAGTTGTGTTTACTGTTCCTTTACGCGGCAACTCCCAGAGCACGCCATCAATACACACCAAGAATAATACAGATATCTGTATATTATATATAATACTGATAGTATAAATTAAAATGCTATGGCAGTAATTTGCTCTTTCCCATGGAAGTATATACTTCCAGGAGCATTTCTAGAAGTTACAACAAATCTCAGGATTTTGACAAACTAGTCCAATCTAGAGTCTGTACTTACTGTGTAGCATTTGTCAAGTCATTTAATGTTTCCTATGACCCAATTTAGCCATTTGTGAACTGTAAATGCAACTTAATGATCTCATACCGATGTTTTGTGAAGCTTACATTTATTGTTTGTAAAGTGTTTTGAAACCCTTGACTGTACAATGTGTTTATTTGCTTCTCTTTTCAAAGGTGTTGAAGGCAACCCTCAATACAGAAAACTGCAAGAAATCTCCCAATAGCAGAAGAAGAGAGCAGAAGTGCAGCAAACATCTCCCAATAGCAGAAGGCAGGGAGAAGGTATAACAAATTAAAGAGGTACTGACTGAAACTGAAATGCTTATTAAAAATATACATTTATAGTATTTACATGCTAATGAATGAATAGATTGCATATATAGCCTTAATACCTAAAATGTGTTTATTTATAAGTAAACTGAAGTGATTCTTATTCATCAGGATCTGAACTCAAGATTCATCACAACAGCATGAGAGATAATGACATCAACATCTCAAGAGGAAGCAGGGAGGTGTCCTTCCTTGCCTTGTCAAACTCTTGCAGGATGAACAAGAACCCTGACCTCAGGTCCCAGTAGACAAGTAAAAACTAAATTTTCAAATGCATTGTGTTTTATATTTGTCATTTTAAAAATTGACTACATATTCTGTTATTTCTAGTCTACTCCTGAGAAATGCTGAAGACTCAACAACTGCCATCAATAGCTGTGGGTACCTCTGATTTTTTCCATTGCTACCTTAATTTTAATTTCTCATTCAAAAAGGGGAAATTTTAAATGTCTTTATCAGTTGACATTATAAAAGTAGTTCCATTTTCAGCTGGTTCAAACTTAAGTAATCAAGGTGAAAAACTGGTGACTTTCCATTTGATCAGACGAATGTCCCAGACATGGTGAGCCAAATTAATTTCTGGTGTAACTCAAGTGACACCATCCCTGAGTCTTAGTAAGTCAAACATTCCATGGAGAGACACCATGAAATCTATGGGGTACACTGCAAATATGTTCTAGTTTGCCGAGTATTGTATTGAGCCAAATTCATCTTCAGTATTGTGGCAGCTTGAAATCAGACTTTGCAATTTAAATTGTACAGCATTTTTGAAGTTTACCTATTTGCACTACATGCACTTATTTACATATAAAAATGGGTTCTTTTTACATTAGTGGTTTAGTAATCTGAAATTTAATTTATACAAACTCAGACTAATCCTGAAAACCTTCCACACATGCAACTCTCAGATTTCATTGTACATTGCAAACACACAGTTTGTAGAATTGGGACCTAAGAATGTGAAAAATATTTGATTCAGATGTAAATTGTAAATAAATCTAGCCTTTCATAAAGGAAGTGTTCAGATAGTGCGCCCCCAAAACAGAATAATGAATCCTCAATATTTAAATGGTGTTACATGTAATTATATATCATAATATATTTAAAAATGTAAACTAAATTTAAGTTCTATTTAAATTCAGTAGTGTAATTACTGCTTAAAAGTTGTAACCATTTTATCTGACAGATGCACCAGCTGGTATTAGGTATCCCAGTATATCCAAATAAGGGAAATCTTCACATCTCCATTTTCTCATCAGGACAGAAGGAGAGAAATTGTCTCTTGAATGTTCAGTTTAACTTTTGCCTACTGATATTTTCAAACCTGGATGCCTAAATTAAGCTCCTAAACAGCACACAGATTTTCAAAAGGTGCTGGGCTCCTGTAACTCCTATTGACCTCAGTGGAATTTGAGAGGGCTCCGCCATTCTGACGATCAAGCCACTATTTTGGAGCCTAATTTTAGGCACCCAGGTTTGAACATTTTAGCTTGAATATTTAAAAAAAAAAAATTCCCCAAATACTGTTTCTTCACTTCCCTACATGAGAATGCTACTGTCATTTCTGCAATATGTTGATACAACATAACTTTACTCCTGTAGACTGAGATATCCTAGATTACCGCCACTGACATGCTTCTCAAATGGCATGCCATGGTAATTAGCACCATGTAATTAATATTTTTCTTAATTTAAGATTAATAGAGCTGTACTTATAATAAAGTTTTAATATATGCTGACCTCCCACAAGGTAATTTAAAAGATTCAAGGGATACACAGGTTTACTGTAATAAAGGAATAGATTGAAAACTAATATTTCACTGACAAGTTGTGTAATTAACAAGGGGAGCAGCAAATGAAATGTAATTAGGATGCAGAACATCCTATAAGGAAATCAGCACTGCTAGCCTTCTATACTTCAGGTTATATCTAAACCCTATTTTATTCTTAGTGCCCTGTTTAGTCCTCCTTCAAGAAAAATCTAATGTGTATGAAATGTCTTAATACTGGATTATTCTCATAAACAAGTTTTGAAAAATTTAAATTTGTTTGCATAGATAAAGGTAAAGCAATTTTAATCTGTGTATTTCTTAACAATACATATAGGTTTATTTAAAATTTATTCCTACTTATGGCTCAATTCCTAAATAATTTAAGTTTAAATATGGCAGTTCTAATTCTACAGTCAAATGCAGAAGGTCTATTTCAGATGGTCTTGCTTGGAGTACACTATTTGATAGAAGACCTATTCCAAATATTAAATCTATTTCTTAACGAACACTGAAGAACAATGTGGTGCTCCACATCTAGAAATGGGCTGTAATATTATCATCGTTTCAACTATGGCCAAAGCAACTATGCAAAATAAGATGGCATTTTGCACATACAGCATACCAACCTGTCAAACGGGCAATGGGTAGCAAAACCTCAAACGGGAGGTCAATCCTTCAAACTAAAAATGCTTACTTAAGACTACTTATACTGAACTATTATTCTAAAGCCCTAAGGACACGGATCAGTATACCAAAATCGTTCATTGTTATGGCAGTTAGAACAAAACCAAACAAAAAAAAGAAAAGAAAAGCAAAGCAAGTTGATATACCCTCTACTAGCTGTAAGCAAATCATAAATTATACCTGCTCATAACAATATAAACCCACCTGCCATGATGTCATCCAGCGTGTCATTGAGGGTCTGAGCAGGGCTGGCTACCATTAACCCTTGCTGAGTTTCTGTCAGAATTCCTTGCCCCAGCCCTGCCAGCTGTGCTTGGCCCAACACTGGCTGTCCAACTATAACACCTTGCAGTTCTGTAAGATTTGCGATGGACCCTGGAGGTAGGGAACCTGTTGCCAGAGGCAAAGCTTGTGGCATCGCCAGAGGCTGAATAGGTGCAAAGCCCATCTGCGCAGCAGTTTGCGGAGGATCATCCTTGAGCAAGATGGGGTCCACCTGCTGTAATCGTGCATAGTCCCCCTCTGAAAGTTGTTCTCCAACCCCAACAGGAGTCAGTAGTCCCAGATGCTGGCAAGACTGCTGTTGCTGCTGCTGCTGAAGCTGAATTCTTTGCGCTTTAACCTCTAGATATTGCTTTTTTAGCTGCTGCTGCGTTTTCAGTTGTAACTCTCGCTCTACTTTCTGCAGTTCCTCCAAAATCTTTTGTTTCTTCTGAATTTGTTCCTCTCTCGTTTTGTTCAATTCCTCAATCTTCTCCTTGGTAAGCTGATCAGCATGTGCCAATTCCAAGGACTGCAGTTGAGCATTTTTTTCTATGGCTTCTTTTATCCTCTGCTCAAGCTCTGTTAACTTGCCCTGAGCCTCTTCTACAATGCTCTCTGGAGACTGATTGGTGATGTAACCCTGTACATCCTGGTTGTTTGCTGGCAAATGGCTGCTGGACTTTTGTTTAGAAGCAGCTGTGTGAAAAAGAAACCCCCTCAGAACCAATGGAAGTGCACATGAATGGCATCCTCATTACAGAGCTACTGTTTGGACATTTAATGGCCAACAGTTAGGCACCAAGGTACTGTACCCATAGAAGGTGAAAGTGTACAGTAAGACCCTTATGAAGAAAACCATATCTTGCACGTTAGGATAAATATTAATTCAGAGGTTAGCCTGCAAATTTAACAGTGGATTACTATACATAATGTAGAACAGTTTTGTAAATTATTTTTAAGGTATTTGTTCCAACAATAGTTACATGTCTGAGACAAGAAAATGATTGCCTCAAGATGTGTGGTATGCAAGTGGCATAATTAGATATACAAAAAAGAAAGGGAAGGAGATACTATCCCTAGACCTGTTGTTTTGTGTTTTGAGATGGTATCAAGTCATAAATGCATGGAAAAAGCCAAGAAACCAAGCCAAACTTATTTGATGGGTAGGGTTTTTGTTTGAAGAATTAGCTTTGTAAATCTGACTTGGTAGATTTAAAAAGGTGCTAATCTAATTAGGAATATTTAATCCCTTCACACTGGAAGTCCAGCTATATCAGCTTGACATTCAGTACTAGACCCAATATTAAGGCATTAAAATACAAACTAATATGTTCTGATTGGACAGTTATCGTGTTTAGGTGTTCCACACAGAAGACATGAATTTGCGTATGTTCAACCCAACTCCCTAATCAGGAGAGGGAAAGAATTCAGTCTTCACGTAAGAAAGGACAGTGCTCTGTGTAGTCCAACCGATTTATAGTGAACAAGTCCACAGTGATTAAGCCAACACTATACCATCTAAATGTTATAAGGAAAAGTGATTAATGGTTCAGAATGGAAGGGAAATTAAAACACAGTATTTCTAACTGTGGAAGGACCCATTTTCTTCCAGCAGAACTTAAATTGTAAAGTATTACAAGCATATACACAGTATATATTTTATTATACACACACACACAACCTACTGGTGGTCCTTGATAGAAAAAATATTCTGGAGATCCTTTATCTATAAAATTTTTGCTGCACTTTTACATAATGTTTCAAAAATGGATACCAAATTTACACTGAGTTCAACTACTTTGCAAAGGGGACCCGAGTCACATTTTACAGCACAAAATCAAGAAATTCTGCTTTTAAATATAGTCAAATCTGTACCTAGACTACTATCTTAAGGAGATGTAAATTCCAAACCAGCTACAATATTACTGATAACTGTGATCAATGACAATTCTTTCGAAGTTTTAACTATTTGATACTGGTTGACAACTGACATTTCACATTAATCTAGCAAAACCACACATTATGTAAGATTTTTAGAGAGGCACATTTCTTGAAAAATTCCAATTTAAAGAGGTTAGATGGATATTTTGTCTTTAATGTGGGTGAAAACAGTCCTTACAAAAATTAAATTAATTCCCTTGACTGATTCCAGAAACTATTCCTTACAAAAATTAAATTAATTCCCTTGACTGATTCCAGAAACGATTATTGTCTGCAGGAACTTGTCAACTAAAATAAAATTGAAAGCAACCCTAAATCTTCTACCTAGATAGGATGTTTAAAGTAAGCTGCAAAGCTACAACTGACCTTTATTTCTGATGGGAAGGGTTGTGGCGACATTGGCAGGGGGTTTGTCAGGCTCCTGGGGTGGGACGACCATGGGCAGTGCCTGCACTGGTACACGAGGAGCCTAAAACATTGGACACTAATAGATTACATTTCTTTTCGTCCTATATGCTTAATGAGATGTTATACTTCAATAAATATTAACAAAATGGTCACTGTTACAAAAGTGGCATGCATAACAAACAGTATTTGATATAACACCTTTTGAAATGTTGAGTTCAGTGCCAATAGTTGTTAACAGTTCCAGACTATTATTCATATGGGTCCTAAGCACTTCACATTCTTAGGCCATGTCTACACTAGCAAGCTTACAGTGGCATAGCCGTACTGATACAGCTGTGCCGCTGTAAAATCACTCATGTAGCCACTCTATGCCAATAGGAGAGAGCTCTCTGTAGACATCATAAAACCACCTAAGTGATCAGAAGTAGCTATGTTGGCAGGAGACGCTCTCCCGCCGACATAGCACTGTGCACACAAGCAGTTATGCCGATTAAAAATATGTCGCTTGGGGTGAGCTTTTTCACACGCCTGAGCGATATAAGTTTTGTTGACATAAGGGGGAGTGCAGACATGGCCTTAGTATAAACAACAAACATTCTAACAATTTCATCATCATGAACATGGTAACCCATAATAAATCTGCAGTGCAAATTTAAGCCACAGTTGGCTGCAAATGAAGGTTAAAAGAGCACTTCTTACTCAAGTGTTTTCAACTGTTGAGATTTTCTTCCTCATTGTTTTTCAGTAAAATTGACAGATCAAGAGGAAAAAGGCAAAGAATTACCCAGTAACGCTACCAAAGGATTTTCAGTTTGCACTTCAAATTGTGGCATCTTTTCAAAAAAGCTCATCTAGTAACCTACAAAATGTGCTAAACCTATGTTTCCAGATATTTTTCATAACTTTAGTGCATATTTTAGTACCTTAACTTTCAGCAAACTAAGTATGAACACACAGAAAAATGAAATAAAATTAAAAATAAAAAAAATAAAAAATAAAATAAAATTTGCTCTTGAATCTTACCCTATTTAAATCATGGGATGGTGGGGTCAGCTGGGTGGCATCAGGTGCAGGAGCAGAAAGCAAGTTATTTGGATAATCCAGCAGGTAGCAAACCACGCTAGTATGACCACCTTTAGCTGCCTCTATCAACATAGTTGAACCATCCTAAAGAGAAAAGTAGCACACTACTTTAGAAAACCATGTGTATGAGAAACTTAAATTATTTTAATTTTACATTTTTACAAGCGTATCTTTAAACACAAAGGCATTAACATTATGAAACTATGAGAATTACATAGCAAGTTCAGTCTAATTTCTTGGTGCAAGAATTCATGACTTCCTGTGGCTAATACACTTAGGGCTTGCCTTCACTACCACACTAAATCAGAGCTGCTGCACCGATTCAGCTGCGCCGATTTATCACGTCTGGTGAAGACACACTGCGTCGATGGGAGAGCGCTCTCCCGTCGACATAATTACTCCACCACAATGAGAGGCGGAAGTAGGTTAGCGGGAGAGCATCTAAGTTGATGTAAGTTACATTGCTCAAGGGGGTGGTTTTTCACACCCCTGAGAGATGTAACTAACATCAACTTAGGCGGTAGTTTAGACAAGCCCTTAGTGGCAAGGCTTCTCTTGGATGATAAGGATTTCATTTAGCACTATCCACATTTATAATTTTGAGAGTGATTGCTATAAACTTTCATTACAAGTATGTCAGTTTATTTAGCCAGTCCTTGCATTTATTTGAAACAGTAACCATAAGATTAGTTCAGAAGACAAGGAAAACATACAAATGCTAAAAATACTTACTTTCAGTCGGTGTGTAGGATCAGCTCCATGAGCTAGCAGTAATTCCACAACTGCCAAGTGACCTCCAGCACAGGCCAGCGACAATACTGTATGATCATTGTTAGCTGTGGTCCTATTCACATTTGCTCCTTCAGTGCAGGAGGGAGAAGAAAGAAGGATGGTGGGAGAAGAAATCACTTCACAAAAAGATGAACTGTAACACTTGTCTTTAACCCATTCCCGTTCTGGAATCAATACTTAATTCCACATATATTAGACTAATATGAAACAGCAGCTTTAAAAATAATTAAATGCATAAATCATCTTCAAATGTATTTGATGGCCAGAAATGTTAGGAAAAGACGCACTGACTGTTACATAATATAGTACTGTATTCAGCAAATTTGACAATATGAAGTTATAATTGTTAACACAAAAGTCTCATCAGCTACATAATGGATCAAAAATGTTACTTTTACTAAATAATACAGGGAAGATAGCATAAATATTAACATTCCCAGCCAAGAATGTGAATATGTCTATATTACATGCATGGACCTAATGTGATTGTGTATGTGATGCCGTTATTCAAGATCTGCCAGCAATCTTGTTGTCATGGTGCCTCACTTTATGACTGATTTGCTGCAGAAGCCCTTCCTAGTCACTGGCAAGCAGCGACTAATTCCAGCTGTGCCTTCTCCCATTCACATCGGCGAAGGGATGATAATGGGGCAGGACTAGGGACAGCAGGCCAGTCAGATTCCACACGAGGAGGAGAGGAAAACTTGTAACTGTAGCTGCTTGGGTGATGAAGCGGGGTTAATAAGGAGCAAGAATGACCACACATGCAGTTGCTAAAATTAGACTCCTAAATCAATATTTAGGCACCTGATTTTTAAAAGCTTTGAGCACCCGTTAGCTTCCACTATCTTCAATGCAAATAAAACACTAGGGCCTAAAGGGGTCTAATTTTCAGAGTTCCTAAGCCATACCACAGCGCCCAATGAACTTATTGGGAACTGCAGGTGACCAGCACCTTTTAAGTATCAGGTACCTCACTTTAGGTTACCAAGTTTGGAAGTCCTAGCCTACATAGCCTAGTGGCTTAAATATTCTAACTCAAGGTAGAGTGATTAAAATAACATTAATGTAGTTGGAAGCAAGACGATAATGTCATTGTAAGTCCTATAATCATTCCATGTTTTTATTAGAAACACTGAGTTTTATATAGAATGTGTCAATTGTATGGACAATCAGGAGGATCAAATGGATCAAATATCTTCTATTTAATAAAAAAATAGATCGAAACACATGAGCAGCGACTCAGTATCCGTACATTACAACATGCCGTGAAGGCTTTCATGCGCTGCCTGCGGTGCAAGAAGGGGCATGTTTAAGACAAATGATGTCCAGAACCTTAATTCCATTATCTATAAAATTAAGCATTAAAAAAAAGTTATCCTAGTACTAGCACTGCTATTTAAATTACTGGAAATCTACATAGAATCTACATTACATACACAGTGGTCTTCAAGTCAGAATTCTTATAAAAGCAGAAAAGAAAAATTCATGAACTCACCTTTGCTAATCAAGAACTGAACAGTGCAAACGTGACCTGCTCTTGCAGCTTTCATTAAAGGAGTTCTTCCACCTTCTGATTCATGTTCCTAGACAAAATATGAAAACAGGCTTACAAGATTGCAAAAGGGCAAGTTTCTAAAGGGATCTAAACCCAGCCTGCACTTTTTCAGCTGAAATATTATTACCATCACAAATGACTACATTTTGAGGTTTAATAACCCAATAATATCCACAAACTAACCGACTTATCTTGATGACATCTGTAGAACAGGGATAATACCAACCCACCTTTGTAAAGAGCTTTGAGATCCCCGGATGAAAAGTGTAAGTGTGAAGTATTAAAATGTTCAGATTGTAAAGCCCATGTTTATGGGCTTTTTTAAAGAAAAGAGTTCCCTTATTAATAAGCTTCAGAGTTAACTTCATTTTATGTGGCATTAATATAATGCTCTACAGGCATTCTCAACAGATGCTGAACATGGACAATGTCTCTGGTCTCTGTTTACCTCAATCATCTTTATTCCATTACCTAAATACAGTTTATCAACACCTAGTAATTAAAGCAGGAACAGAATTGACATCTTTAATAGTTGCTATTGAAAGTGGGGTGGGGGGGAAATCGGGCTTGCAGCATAACAGAAACAGCTATTTTCTGGTATTAACCAGAATGTGGAGTGGATCATTTCTGCATTTTCATTTGAAATGCTTCATATAAATGACACGGCAGCAGTATTTTTCTGCTCAGGCTACTTTTAAGGGGCTGGAACAGCTTTGGAAGCCAGCCAAGGTAAGTCAGACTAACGCAGTGGTCTCCAACCTTTTTATACACAAGATCACTTTTTGAATTTAAGATCAACCCAGGATCAACTCAATCCCACACTCTCCATTCTCTCCTCCTGTCACTCACTCTCCCTCATCCTCACTCACTTTCACCGGGCTGGGGCTGGGGATTGGGTGCAGGCTCTGGGCTGGGGCCGAGGGGTTTACAGTGTGGGAGGGTGCTCCGGGCTGAGCCTGGAGCAGGGGTATGGAGTGCAGAAGTGAAGGGTGCAAACTCTGGGAGGGAGTTTGGGTGCAGGGATCATATGGTCACACTGCACCTAATCTCATAGAATCCACTGGACATTTCATGAGTTTTACTTTTTATTAGTGTCATTTGTGGTTTATAGATACAAAATCATTCAGGGATTGTCACAAATCAGTGTAACATTCTCAACTGTGGAGAGTGCATTGGCTGAGCCTGAGAAAGGGGGTTGGGGTGCAGGAGTGAGGGGTGCAAGCTCGGGCGGGGAGGAGAGTGAGGGGTGTGAGCTCTAGGAGGGAGTTTGGGTGCAGGAGGGGGCTCCAGGCTGGGGCAGAGTGTTGGGGTGTAGAAGGGGGTGAGGGGTGTGGGTTCTGGAATGGAGTTTGGTGCAGGAGGGGACTCCGGGTTGGTGCAGAGGACTGGGGTGAGGGCTCTGGGAGGGAGTCTGGTAGAGGGGGTTGGGATGCGGGAGGGGATGTGAGGTGTAGCCTCCGGCCGGGATGCACTTACCACAGGCAGTTCCCGGCCAGCGGTACAGCGGTGCTCAGGCCCCACGCCACTCCTCGGAAGCAGCTGGCTGCTGGCACATCTCTGCGGCCCCTGGGGGCGATAGGGGCAGCAGGTCTCTATGCTTTGGCCGGGAATCCCAGGGGCCACAGAGATGTGCTAGCAGCCAGCCACTTCCAGGAGCAGTGTGGGGCCACGGCAGGCAGGCAGCCTGCTTGAGCCCCGCTGCACCGCTGGACTTCTAGTGGCCCAGAGATTGCACTTGACTGGCAGAGGCTCCAGGATCAACCAGTCAATTATGATTGACAGGTTGGTGACCACTGGACTAAAGCATTTTGAGAATTGCTTTTACATAATGAAATAATCATTTTACATCAAACTGGGAAGAAGAATCACTAATTCCCACATGGTTAACAAGCTACACAAAACTGCATTTAGATAACATATTTAAAGTAAAATGACAGGGAGAATTTAAAAAACAAGTTTTCAGCAATTAACATTCAGTGCTCATTATATTTTTTATTTCTGATTTATAATTATCATCTAAAAGTTAATTCCTTACCAAATCTGCACCTGCCTGAAGTAAGACATCTGCTACATCAGTATGGCCATTTTCACATGCATATGTCAGTGCTGTGTCACCTGTTGCTGTTGTTGCATGCACATTAGCCCCTGAAAAGCAGTATTAATGAACATGTAAGCTTTAAAACAATAGTCTAAACATATCCAAGTCTCTATGTTCCTAACAGAACAGACTGTAAACCTCTTCTTATCATTCAATAAAAAGTTGATTAAAATATTCCTTTAAAGATTTTATCAGCCCATACTCTGAAATGAGTCACTAAAGACACAAGTCCCCTCAGAACTGAAGTTTGAACTACTTATTACTCTCCAGCGGTAAACATATATCCAAAATATTAAATAGTCTAGAACAGTTACATAAATCACTACAGAGTCTAACTTCATAACGCTGCTAATGAAGCTTTATCAACATGGGCACA